AGCTGTTTCCTTCTGCTTGCATAAGTAGCAAATGTGTTTTGTCAAAGAGTGACTGGCAATCAATGATCTTCCCAATCCTGGGTATAGTCCCTGGCTCATGGGAGGCTAGCTCAAGACATTTCTGTTTAATAAATGAATATTGTGTCTATCATACCATAAAAAAGCTGGTGGAAAGGGTTCTTTGTGGGTCATGGGAGACTATGGTTGCCAAAATACAATCTGGAAAGAACAGATAGAAGGATTATTCTGCTCTTTACCAGAAGGACACCCTGCTGGTGAGCCAGCCTGAATATTATTATCCTCAATTATAGAGAAGTGGATATTTTTCCTGTTACATATTTTTCCTTCTAAGCACAGGACTCCCAAGGACATACTTGACCTAATCAGAAGTAGGGGCTGAAGTGTAACAAATGGAAGGCAACTTCGGGAGGAGAATCACAGTGTTTTAATCAGCCCACAAGGTCTAATTCAAGACACCTGCTGCTTTGTTTAACAATAGCAGTCTTCTCAGGACAAAACATAGTTCCTTGTTTCATAGCACTGATGGATAATATATGTACAGCTTGGAGAACAACATTTATTATGGTAACTACCTTCAGGCAGAAGGGAAGCGATAAAGAAAATAAATAGACAGTTAGACTGCAGAGTAATGGAGCCTTTTTAGGCTCTAAAAAAGAACAATATAAAGTGAAACAAAATCCAAACAACATGTGGGACCTGAAAACCAGGCCAAGTAGTCATTTTATAGTCCTCCGTCAACAAAGAAAACCACTTCAGAAACGGATGCAATCTATACAGAGTCAGAATTGGGCCAACATAGAAAAACTGGAGAATCAGAATTTTTGCTACAAAATAACATTACCGAATTAGTTTAAGAAAAGTGTATTGCTCTTTGAGCCATTTAGCTAATTAGTGCTACTCTCCCTGTATTATTACTTCAAAGCTACACTCTTGAACAGTACCATAAGATCCCATTCTTTCTTTCCTATAGCATTTCCAGACTCAACCCCAGTCCAAATGTGAGGAGTTGGGCTGGCTCCAAAGTGCCAGGTAGATACTTGCTGAGCATAGGCATTCCACGACTGGGCCATATTCACTATCACACATGCCTGTCTATGCAGCATACATTGCATATGCCAAATATATGTACCCAGAAATGTTGGCATGAGATAGACATGGGGTGAATTGGGAAGAGAAAGAGAAGGAAGGGATAGGAAGCTACATTTAAGTGCTTACTATACACCAGGCACTCTGCAAGATACTTTATACACATTAGCTAAAACTTGCCTATCTCTTCTCCCTTCCCACCCAAGATTTTCCATCTTATAAAGGTAGTGTTACTGTTGATGCCATCATGCCCCAGGTATCACCATGCCAATTAGCTCCAGGCATGCCCAAGGAGTAAGAACCACGGAGAGAAGATAAGCACAATGTCTAAGGAGAGAGTACACTCAACTTTCCCCAGAAGCAGTAAAAACTCTCCTATTCATTATTTCATTCATTTTTGAGAGATACTCCAGTGGTAGCTTGTCATTTCATTTATCATTCATTTAGCATTATTTATTTAGTTCTCACCCTAGGCACTATACAGTCATTATGCTTGGTTCTAGGAAAACTGAGGTAAGTAAGACAAAGTCTCTGTCCTCAAGAAACAGCCTGCTTGGGAGGCAGATGGACATGTAAACAACGGGAACAAAACAATCTGTAGGGTAAGTCTAACAGTAGAAGCAGGTACATGATATAAGAGGGGAATAGAGCAAGGAGCAATCACTCTGCTTGGGGAAACTAGGAAAGTTTCTTGGAGACAGTGGCATGTCCTCAACATGAGTTATTCCAGCCATAGTTTCATTAAGTGAAACTGCCACTTGCCCATATCCTGCTGAGGAGATACTCCAGGTAGGACCCAGGACCCTGCCCTCCCTTCCCCAGCCACAGCTTTCTCGACCAAAGGTGAGCACAGTAGGGGAGGAAAAAACTCTTCCTCCACCCTCTTATCCTTAGTGTATGGGGCCCTGCAAATTAAACTAACAATAGACAGATTAACAGGAGAAAAAAAAATCCAGTTTATTTACATGTGCAATGCTCATACACATGGGAAAACTCCATGATGAATAACTTAAAGGGGAGGTTAGAATTTTGGGCTTATATAGCATCTTAATAGGTGAAGGTGAGAGGGAGAAAGGGGAAAACAAACGACTTTTTTGGAAAGATAAACGAGTTTTCAGGAGAAGAAAGACAGGAGATAAGAGAGTCTGTGATAATGTTTATCTCTACAGGTATGAGTGGTCTTTCCAGCTCCTACAGTGCCATAAAACTCCCTTGGAGAAGGGATTTCAAGTAGGTTTTCTTCACATTCTCCCTCTGGGAGTAGATCCACCCTGAAGAGGAATTTATAGCAGCCTTATTTCCCAGATAAGGAAAGCTCAGAGGCTTTTTTTCCTGCATCTGTTGAATTTCAAATGTCTTCAGCTTAAAATAATCTTTATACATACAGAAGTGGCATATTGTGGGGTGGCATACTCTGATCCCCTTTACCACCTGACCCAGAGCAGTCAATCCACAGGCAACTTATGGTATGATGTACTCACACACGTGTGTGTGTGTGTGTGTGTGTGTGTGTGTGTGTAAAAGGAAAACTGGAAAATGCAGAGAGAATCAGGTAGTGGCCAAATCCCGGTACAGAATCCCTGGCACCACTTCACATTTGCAGCGTTGCTTTTGTATGTTTGTTGAATTAGTACCTAACTCCTTTCTACAGCATCTCCGGGAGGGAAGAGATTGTATCTTTTCCCTCCTCACTGTATTTCCAGCATCTGGCACTGAACTTAAGACACAGTATGTGGTGAGTAAATATTTGTTGAGTGAATGAACAGAGGAGTTTTAACAAGGACAAATAGGCCTGACACTGAAGTGAGGAAACGTTAAGGCAGAGTAGATTGTCCCCTGAGGTGCACTGAGCAGCCAGAGGTCAGCAAGAAGGTCCTGGAATTGATCTCCAAGGCGGTTAGAAGGGCACTCGAAGTAAGACGGAGGAATCCCAAAGACAAACTTTGGCCTAAGACTAAACAACATTGTCTTAGGTCAGCTAGCATATGAAATTCCTTTCGAAAATAGTGAAATGTGCCTGCATTGACAGCAGAATTTGGGCATAAGAAAATGTGAGTTCAAAAAAGTTCTGATTCTTTCTATAATAGTAATTGTATAGATTGAAAACGCAAGTCACAAACATGTAAAAGATGACTCTTCAAAGACAATTTTTTTAAAATTCTGAACTTTTGAAAAGAATCTCTAATTTTTAGAAAAGAATTATGCAGCTTCTAGAGAGAAGCCCTGACAATGATCTGGCTGCAATAAAGAAAGACAGTGAAATAACAGTTAACTCAAAATTTAGGCACAATTATCCAACACAAATGTTAGTAAACTGAAATGATTATTGTATTCTTATAAAGTGAAAATAATAAACCATGTATACAATTGTATTGTAGTGCTTGAATTCAAATCTCAGTATTGCAATTGCACAGGGAACCAATGTTATATTTAGGACAGAGGCTTTAAAATAGGCAAAACTGCATGTAAATCCTGATGCTTTGGGTGGATTTCTTAAAATTCTGAAAGCCTCAGTTTCTTAAAAGAAACCATGAACATCATTATGCTACCTCACAAAGTTGTAAAGATGAAATTGGGCAACATATATAAAGAGTTTGGCTGTGCTTAGCATATGAGGGTTCAATAAGCAGTAATTATTGTTAAATGAAACTATCTTCTTTAAACATTTTTCAATATTTCTTAAAAACCTATTTCTCCATCAGATTTGCTCTTCAGTTTCATTGAATTGGTTTTTTTCTCATCCACAAGAAGAATATTTAAATACATTCTTATTCTTCCTAGTCAAAGCTAACGAAAATGTGTTCCTTAGGCACAGAGAGAGAGACTATCTCTTTTTACCTTCCAGGTTCTTTCTCATGCCAAAGAAATCATTTCCTCCTTCCTCCCTTCTCTGCCTCTCCTTCAGTACACTCCTACGCTGGCTACCTAGCATGAATTCACACTCACTGTTTCTCTTTCTCTCTGTGTAGAGAACTGAGCTCATTCATTACTGAAGAAGAAGAGAGTGTCATTTTTTTCAGTATTTTGAAAGGATACTAAATTGGCATTTATAAATTAAGAATCCATAAATATTGCATTATATACATTTACTATTCTACTTTAATATTTATAAAGTTCTTAATGCAACACTCCTGTGAATAATTTTTTTCCTAGAGTGCTATATTTTAGGAAAGTTTATCATATCCCTCTGTTCTCTTTTCTTTTTTTGACTTAAAATTAGGCATCTTCCAGATGCTTGCACTTTTCAACTTAACTGAAGCAAAAGAACCATGAGAATCTTCTTAGATTCATTTTCTGTCCCCTAAGATGAACCTTACATGTTTTAATTTAGGTTGTCTGGAGAAACTTGAATTGTTTAAACCTGAGTTTTTATATGATTGTGTAGCAAGACAAAGACATTTTAAAAATACATCAAGAATGAATGACCATGGTAACAATATATACATTTTTATTAGAAAAAACAGAGTACACATTGGTAGCACAGCCTCATGTTTTGAAAACAAGACTAATCCCATTGACATGGCTTTAGCTAAAATTTAAAAAAAGAAGTACGTGTTTTCCACAGACAAATTCCTTATTCTAAATTTTTATGTTCCCACTTCATTTTGTTTCTCTATGTGATAGCCAATTAAGAAGAAAGTGAATATTTGAATTAAAAAATTCAGTCCCAGCATGGAATGTCTGTGGAAGGATGGCTCTATACAGTTTTGAAAAGGGCATCTAAGTAAGCATTTTAATCCAAACCTTCAGGAATCCTGGAGAAATTTTAACGCCTAGAATTTGCTTATGTTACTGCTGGTGCTAAATTTGTACACTGAGCCCAGTCTTATTAGGTCCTGATCTGGATCTTCACCTCCACGTAATTGGTGAACTTCAACCTGTCAGCCTCTTACCTTGTTTTCAATAGGTGAGAAGCAAGTCTGTCACTGACTGGCCACTCAAACGGCCGTATCTCAGACACCACATTGTGTTTCATCAAGTAATACAGACATGACATAAAGCATGATCAGAGGAAACAGTCTGCAAAAAGAAATCCAAATTGCATGCACTCATGTTATGATTTACAATATGAAAAAGAATGATTCATACTCTCAAGAGATATAAAATTGTGCAAATGTGAGCACCACACGCACAGGGACTTTTACCTTTTGCATTCCAAGTGCCTAGAACAGCTTCTGGCACATAATAGGTGCTCAGTAAATACAGGCATACCTCAGAGATATTGAGGATTCAATTTCAGACCACCACAATAAGGCCAATATCACAATAAAGCAAGTCACAAGACTTTTTTGGTTTCTTGGTGTATATAAAAGTTATGTTTACATTATACTGTAGTCTATTAAGTGTGCAATAGCATTGTGTCTAAAAACACAATGCACATACCTTAATTAAAAAATACTTATTGCTAAAAATGCTAATCATCATCTGAGCCTTCAGCGAGTGGTAATCTTTCTTGCCTTGATGTTGATGGCTGCAAACTGATCAGGGTGGAGGTTGCTGGAGGCTGGGGTGGCTGTGGTAATTTCTTAACATAATACAACAATGAAGTTTGCCTCATCAATTGACTCTTCCTTTCACCAACAGATTCTCTGTAGCATGCAATGCTATTCGATAGCATATTACCCACATTAGAACTTCTTTCAAAATTGGAGTCAATCCTGTCAAACTCTGCACTGCTTTATCAACTAAATCTATGTAAAATTCTAAATCCTTTGTTGTCATTTCAACAATCTGCACAGCATCTTCACCAGGAGTAGTTTCCATCTTAAGAAACCACTTTCTTTGCTCATCCATAAGAAGCAACTCCTCATCCATTAAAGTTTTATCATGGGACTGCAGCAATTTAGTCACATCTTCAGGCTTCACCTCTAATTCTAGTTCTCTTGCTATTTGCATCACATTTGCAGTTACTTTCTCCACTGAAGTCTTGAACCTCTCAAAGTTATCCATGAGCGTTGGAATCAGCTTCTTCTAAACTCCTGTTAATGTTTATATTTTGACCTCTTCCCACAAATCATGAATTTTGCGTGTGTGTGTGAGGAAGATTGTTGCTGAGTTAACATCTGTGCCAATCTTCCTCTATTTTGTATGTGGGACGCTGCTACAGCATGGCTTGGTGAGCAGTGTGTAGATCCATGCCCTGGATCCAAACTTGTGAACCCCGGGCCACCGAAGCACAGCACGTGAACCCAACCACTACACCACTGGGCTGGCCCCCCATGAATGTTCTTAACGGCATCTAGAATGATGAATCATTTCCAGAAGTTTTTACTTTACTTTGCCCAGATCCATCAGAAGAACCACAACCTGTGGTAGCTATAGTCTTATGAAATGTATTTCTTAAATCGTAAGACTTGAAAGTCAAAATTACTCCTCAATCCACGGGCTGTAGAATGGATGTTGTGTTAGCAGGCATGAAAACAACATTAATCTCATTGTACATCTCCATCAGAGCTCGTGGGGTAACCAGGTGCACTGTCAATGAGCAGTAATATTTTGAAAGGAATCTTTTTTTTCTGAGCAGTAGGTCTCAACAGTGGCCTTAAAATATTCAGTGAACTATATTATAAACAGATGTGCTGTCATCCAGGCTTTGTTGTTCCATTTATAGAGCACAGGTAGAGTAGATTTAGCATAATTCTTAAAGGCCTTAGGACTTTCTGATGGTAAATGAGCACTGGCTTCCACTTAAAGTCACCAGCTGCATTAGCCCCTAACAAGAGAGTCAGTCTGTCCTTTGAAGCCAGGCGTTGACTTCTCCTTTCTAGCTATGAAAGTCCTAGATGGCATCTTCTTCCAATACAAGGCTGTTTCATCTACACTGAAAACCTGTCATTTAGTTTAGCCACTCTTGTTAATTATCTTACTTAGATCTTTTGGATAACTTGCTCTCACTTCTATATCAGCACTTGCTGCTTCATCTTGCACTTTTATGTTATGGAAATGGCTTCTTTCCTTAAAGCTCATGAACCAACCACTGCTAGCTTCCAACTTTTCTTCTGCAGCTTCCTCACCTCTCTCAGCCTTCACAGAATTCAAGAGAGCTAGGGCCTTGCTCTAGATTAGGCTTTGGCGCTAGGGAATGTTGTGGCTGTCTTGATCTTCTATCTAGACCAAACTAAAAGTTTCTCCATATCATCAATAAGGCTGTCTCACTTTCTTATCATTTGTGTGTTCATGGAGTAGCACTTTTAATTTTCTTCAAGAACTTTTCCTTTGCATTCACAACTTGACTAACTGCTTGGCACAAGAGGCCTAGCTTTCGACCTATCTCGGTTTTTGACGTGCCTTCCTCACTAAGCTTAGTCATTTCTAGCTTTTGATTTAAAGTGAGAGACGTGCAACTCTTCCTTTCACTTGAACACTTAGAGGCCATTGTAGGGTTATTAATTGGCCTAATTTCAATATTGTTGTGTCTTAGGGAATAGGGAGGCCCAAGGAGAGAGAGATGGGGGAACAGCTAGTTGGTGGAGCAATCAGAACACACACATCTATCAATTAAGTTCACTATCTTATATGGGTGGGTTTGTGGTACCTCAAAACAATTACAATATAACATTAAAGATCATTGATCACACATCACCATAAAATATGAAATTTCAACAAGAACGAAAAAGTTTGAAATATTGCAATACTTACCAAAATGAGACACAAAGTGACCAAATGCTGTTGGAAAAATGGCACCAATAAATTTGCTCAACTCAGGGTTGCCACAAACCTTCAATTTGTAAAAAAAATGCAATATCTGTGAAGCAGAATAAAGCAAAGTACAATAAAATAAGGTATGCCTGTATCTGTGAAGTGAATGAATGATCAAGACAATATAGATGAGGAAAGGGCATCATTTCTAGTAGATTCTTACATTCCCTGATCCCTGATTCTTTCAGCCCTCTCCTATGACTACATCTGCCTTGATTTTTTTTTTTTTTAATTACATGAACTAGTGTAACCTGGGATCCTAGGGAAAATAAACACAGAACGGGTAAATTTAAACCGCAGAAAGAAATTACGACACCCATGATCTTACAGAATGAAGTACTGGGAACTGAAAGGAAAAATTTAGGATAGAGTACCTAAGATTGGGGCCCTTTGGGCAAGGGTGACTTCAGGAAAAAAGAGGCAGGCATCTAAGACTAACATTACCTACTTAGTAATTTTGCTCAGAGTCACTGGGATTCCTACACCACAAGCAAAGTGTGTTTAAGTAAGTAGAGTAGAAAAATAGACTGAGAAGTTCCTCTACTTATACATACTGGTAGACCGCCTGGACAAAAGAAATGAAATATGCATTGATTAGAGAGGACTTGTTTATCTTAGACCAAAGTAATTTTGATTTACCTGAAAATACCTTATCTATTAATTAAGGACGCTAAAATTTTGAAGAATCAAATGTATGACTTACTTTCATTTGCAGTTCTATAATAGACTGCTTTAAAAGATATATTTATAACAAGCATACATCAGGGCTCCATTCCCTAAAATTGGAAGTAAATGTGAAGACTGACTATAATCCAACTTCTGTCAATTAAAATGATAGTAAATATAAATAATTACTAAACTATGGAACAAAATACTATGTCAATTTGATTGGTAAAACTGAGGGCCAATATCATATTATCTCTCTCTCTTTTAACCTTAGATAGAACGCATGATAGCTAGCATGTCTGCAGATGTACGTTGCAATATTTTATAACCAGAATAATTACACAGCCTTTTAAGCTACATGTACAAACAAGAAGTATAATTTTCCAGACCATGATGTTCCAGTACAGTTAATTACTATAAAAAACAAAAATGAGCAATATGTCATTGATGGATATGATTCACAGGACATTAGCCAATGCACTTTCCAATAAGGAGTCTGAGCAACAGATATAATGGGAAACAGGAGAATTCTTCTTAGTAAATTTTCCAATTTCATATTTTTACACTTGAGAGAAACATATGGTTCAATACTTAACAGACTTAGCAATAGTGGGAGGCCTGTGAAAACTGTTTGCAGCCATAACTTGGAGTACATCTTTAGGGTTTCTCTCAGAACTCCTTTAAGGACTTCCTTTCTTCCTAATGCTAAATACAGATATAGTCCCATATTATTCGCTTGTATTATTGTTCATTATAATCAGCATGAATATTAGCTAAAGGACATTTTTATTTTTACCAAGAAAAACAAACTACCACAGTTCAGTCATTCAATTGTGCAAGTGATTTAAAAAAAAAAAGAAACATCCTCCTTCCTTTTTGTTATTACTTTTTGTTATACCAATTACGCAAAATGGCTTTCAAAAATGATAATTAAGTGCACACAAATTCTATCTGTCTTGGGTGCCCTCACATTTTCAAATCTCATTTCCACCTTTGCCTATCCAACCACAATTCCTTTTGCTCCTGAAATTGCCAGACTTCAGTATCACACACACCTGTCTGTAGAGTGTGCCTCTAATTCTGACCACTCAGACCCTAAACAGAGATCCTCATACAATAACCACAACAACAAATAGACAAATAAGGTCAAAGACCAAAAAATTCCAACAAAACAAAAGCAAACAGCACGGGGTGAGGGTAGGGGAGAGGGGATGTGGTGGAAAGGAAATGTCAATCTGGGCACATGATACAGGAGTCCAGCAGTCGGCATTAGGACACTGTGTCCATATTAGGGTTGATGTAAGGACAAATCATAGAATATGGAAGCCTATTTCCTTGTCTGTATTACCTCATGCATCCCCTACTCCCAGAAAAAGGTGGGCCAGGCCTGGGGCAGAGATTATGTCTGTTTTATAGTTTTTCCTCTTGTGACAGAAGTAAATTCCCTGTGAAACTATTGAAGTTTAAGCTTTGGGACCTTTCACTTACAGGGGCCTAGGAGGGCCCTAGCAATGTCTTTACATGTCAAATGTTATTGCAATATTTGCAAAAGTAAGACATTCTAACTTCACTTGCAACCAAAGTAAAAGTATCCTCACTGGAGCTTCTCACATTTTCCTTCATGGTGTAGTGTTGGAGTAACTGCAAGTAGATTCAGCTAAAGGAAAGTTAAAATGGAGATACATCGTTTGGGTTTAGTGGGAATGTTCACATAGTTTGTAGTCACTTTTGAGTATAGCTAAGTTTTTGCTAGCCATCTCAATGTAGGAATGGCTCCCAGGAATACCCCTAAGTCATCCATGACATCAGGTGTATCAGGACCCTAAGACGAAGCGGCCAGAGGTTGTATCATGATGTGAACAGGTCCTATAGTGGCCAGAATAGCAGTATACAGGTAGTGGAGGAGAAATTAGGTTTGAAATGTATGGAACGAGAAGCTAGTCTGGGGGAAAATCTTCTAGTCTTTAGATATGTATAATTATAAGTGGAGAATTTAATTCTTGTCAATGTTAAACAAAATAGAAGTTCTGTATAGAATGAACTTGACAATGTTGCTTGTGTAATTATAAATGCACTATACCCTTTTCTCCCATTTTAATGAGAATCAGATGAATTTATCATCATCCCTGTGTTTTGGGGGAACAAACCTGTAGCAGTGTTCCAAACAATACCCACAGTTGAGTATGTAGTGTTTTCTGTATCTCAAAGTGTTATCACATAAATACACTGATAAAAGATTTACATTGCTTGTTGACTTAACATAAAATACTGAATCAATAAAGATAAGACTCATAAGACACCACTACAATGAGAACATCAATGATAATTCAGAGTATTAAGATTAGCTCCTGTGCAAGAAGATTTGTAATTCCTCAAATCTTACTGCTTATCTATGAAGGAAACTTGATAGGGGTTTTCCCAAATCTTAAAAATTTACATGCTATTACTAACAATGAATAGAGAGGCTGAAAGAAATTTTTCTAAACTTTCAATTTAAAAATTTATTTTTGATCAACCATGCTAGAGGAGTCTCCACTATTTCTATGGGAAAAAGATTTACAAAATTATTGTTATATGAAGAAACAAAGAGTACGCAGACAAAAAAAAATAGGGGAAAAGTACTAGAGATTGTTAGGCAGTAAGTTAAAAATATTATATGATTGTTCTAGATTTTGTCATTTTAGTGGTATTTATCAACTTTTAAAAACAAATTTGTCATGATTTCTTTTTTCTATTCATTTTCATACCTCTTTTTGGTTTGTAATTTAGTATTTTTTTTCTTAAACAGGGCCCCCAAATTGTATAAGCTTCCGGTCACAGAAAACATGGCTCTGCCTCTGCCCAGTGCCTGGCTCAGAACCTGGCATGTTAGATGTTTCTTGAAAGAATATTGTAGGAATGGCTGTTGGCTTAAGGGTAGAGACATGACACTCCACTTAGTGAAGGAGGGTACAGCCTATGCTGAGGTTCTTTGTTATCTCCAGCCTCCAGAACTGACCAGTTTGGGGACTGTGGTAGTACCATACACACCAGTAGAGACCCTAAACCCAGTTAGTGGGAAGTCAAGATGACAGAGGCAGAGAAAATGAGGCCAGAGCCTGTCACATTGTTTCACAGCCTAGAAACAATATTCTTCCTCGTGCGCTCATTCTTCATGGGTGCTGAAATTGATTAAAATAAATTCTTTCTATCTCCAAAGAATATGCCAATTAATTTTCATGTGTTTGGAAATTTATTCCTTTGAGTTATGTTTCCCATTTGAAGAAAATGGTTACTCTTCCTTCCCTTTAAACTGAATAATATGAAACATATGTGAGTAGGATTACATCAAGTCCTGAGACATCAATGTTTGGAAGTGAATTAAGTCTTCCATATAGAGTCCCAAATTAAAATACCTTACTTGAATTAACATGAACATTGTGACTTAATATTGGTATTCTATTCATATTCCTACTTAATATTTCCACTCTAAAATAATGTTTAGCCTCAAAATTTCTACATTATTTAATTTCCACCAAGTGCTAGAAGTCAAGAAAGCTCTATTAACGAAAGACGAAGTAAAAATCTAGATACATGGTTGGGTTAACTGCTTCCTGACGGAGCTGCTTCTGAGGCACAGTACCTGGAATCAGACCCACCCATCAGATCAGGTACAGCCTGATGGAAGGTGTTAGGAGTAGGCAGTCCTCTCTCAAGGTGCTGGGGGAAAGTGTAGAGCAGCATGATATCTAAATGGTGTAGCAACAGATAAATTCAAACAGTTGATATCGTGAGTTCTGATACTCAGAGTGGGGTACCCTCCAAAGAAAGGAAATAGAGAACCCAGAAGAAAGCAATTTGGAAGTCTAAGTAGGCAGAGAGTCAGCATCAGGGACTCCCATCAGCTGGTAACAGAACTTTAGCCACTCGGCTGGTGTTCAGGAGCAGATTCCAGTCCCTGGGAAGGGTTGACAGTGGAGCTTGGTAATAACAAAACAGGACTCTGATTGTTGAAGATACTATGTCAGATGCCAGCCACAGGGAAGCAAGGCAGAAACTCAGTTAACCAAACTGAAGCACAAGTGGGTCTTGGAGAACGAGACAGATTTGTAATCAGAACTTGGGCAAGCAGTCAGAGTTGGACTAGCAGCAAAGGTGACTTGATAACGAATCCTGTAGCATTAGGCTAGAGCCCCCTAAATCTCTTCTGTTCAAGGTCTGGATTGAACAATAAGGTAAGCTGAGCTCGTGATTAGGACCAATAGCCTTTGCTGAGGGAAGAATAAGACTGTAGAGACCTGGGACCAGGTAAGAACTAACTGATGATAAAGAAAAGGAAGGCCCTACCTATGCACAGGGCTTTTGAAATAAGTCATCAAAAGAGAACACATCACATAAAACTTAGCAACAAAAGGAAGATAACTTGAATCTTTTAGGCTACTTCTAAGAAAAAGAAGGCCTCTTAGTAGGGGGAAAAGCTTTTTAGTGGGAGTAAGAAATAATCAGAGATATCTATCTATCTATCTACATATACATTTTAAAGATTGGCACCTGAGCTAACAACCGTTGCCAATCTTTTTTTTTTTTCTGCTTTTTTCTTCCCGAATTCCCCCAGGATACAGTTGTATATTTCAGTTGTGGGTCCTTCTAGTTGTGGGATGTGGGACGCGGCCTCAACATGGCCTAACGAGCAGTGCCATGTCTGCGCCCAGGATCCGAACCGGCAAAACCCTGGGCTGCCGAAGAGGAGCGCTCAAACTTAACCACTCAGCCACGGGGCCGGCCCCAGATATATTTCTTTTTGGATACATTCTTTAGCTTTCCTTTACACAAAATAAGACAAGAAAGAAAGTCTCAATACAGACTATAATTAAAGACTCTTTCTTTTTTAAATTTAGGAAGAATTAAGTTAGAACAGGAAAGTAACTTTCTCTTCCTAAACACTGATTTAGCAATTGTTTGACATGAATTCTTCACCTAAAAAGAAAGCTGCTCAGCACCTTTCTTCTCAGAGGCCTGATTCACCAGGGAGATAGGCTGTGCCAGTCCTGGGATCCATCATTTACCTCCTCATACCATTGCTCAATTCCTGGGTCTAGGGTAGGAAATACACTAGAAGATTCAATACAGGATAAGTGGGACTTAGAATTAACCTTGTTGTCATAGACTTGGTATCTGGTGAGCCCTGGGTAGTCATATGTTCATCCCTATGTTGGCTAGGTTTCAATTGCTGGGCTTCAAGTTCCTCCCTTAGTCTTCCAATTCCTTGCTAGGATGGAGCTTTACACCGAGTTCCAATCCACTTAGCTGGGCTGCTGATCTATCTCTGGATCTGGACTCCTGAAAGACTGAATCCTATTTCCTATACTTCCAGCTTCTTACCAGGATTCTTCTCTGAAGTTGAAGATAACCCTAAGCCATGGAAATGGTGTCTGCTTATTTTGGGGCACTGCTTACTGCCTGAATATCTGCCTAGAATAACACTGAGATTGGCACCCTCTCACCCTTAGGTATTAGGGAGGATTTCCACAATGTGGTGTTTGGAGAAAAAAAGGGAAAGATTTGGAACCTGACAGACTTGGGGTTGATTTTACTCTGTTACTTAACTTTAGATAAATTACTGAACTTCTCTAAGCCTATTTCCTCATCGGTAAAAACAAGGATAGTGATTCCTACTCCCATGACAACTGTGAATATTAAATGAGACAGATAATATAAAGCATCTACTACAGTGCCTGCATGTTAAAACTGCTTAACAAGTGATAGCTATTGTAATTACTAGCAAATGTAAGAAAAAACCTAAATTCATTCATCCAACAAATGTTTATTAAGTGCCTATTAGCTGCCAAGTATTGTATTGAACTCTGGAGGGAGGTACAAAGGCAAAGATGACATGGTCTTCTAGTGGGGAAAAAGAAGAAGTAAATAGACATCTTCAACACAATATGCTGTGGATAGTAAGTACGATGATAGACATCAGCCCAGGGGGTTATGGATATTCATAGGAGGGGCATCTAAACTGGAAGAGATGATCTTGGAAGCACATCCTAAAGAAAAGAGCTGATTAGGAGGAAAGGGGCATGAAAGGTACTCCTGGCAGAAGCAGGAAAGAGCTTGGTGGATTTTGGAAACTCCAAGTAGTCCATCAATGTGGTTGGAATATGGACTGGGAGTAGGGAGGTGAGTCAGAGAAGGAAATGGAAAGGTAAGTAGGGGTCTCTCCTGATCTCCCTATGGCTGGACTGAGGAGTTTGGGATCAAACCTGAGGGCTGTGAATGGCGGCTGTCGGGTTTTAAGCAGAGAAGTAACACGATCAGATTTGTGTTTTAGAAAAATCACTCAAAGCACTCAGGACACCAGGATTTGAATAACAATGAAACAAAGGCAGAACCACCATGGTAGAAGCCCATGTGCTACTCAAGAAGTACGCTCCCCTCTTCTTAATTGTGTAATGTAGATGTCATGCCACAATGATTCCAAAGGTGTTAGGATAAAGACAAGAAAACTTTTTTATTTTTGGAAGATTAGTCCTGAGCTAACATCTGTTGCCAATCCTCCTCTTTTTGCTGAGGAAGACTGGGCCTGAGCTAACATCTGTGCCCACCTTCCTCCACTTTACATGTGGGACACCTGCCACAGCATGGCTTGCCAAGCAGTGCCATGTCCACACCTATGATCTGAACCAGCGAACCCTGGGCCGCTGAAGCGGAACGTGCGAACCTAACCACTGCACCACCAGGCTGGCCCCAAAAGAAAACATTTTAAAAATAAAATGTTTTTTACTTTCAGCTTCCTGATTTTTTTAAAAAAATAAAACTATGCATCTTCAAACATGATTAAAATGAAATTCTGGGATCCCTACATGTACTCCCACACTTACGGTCTTAATACCCTTTGCATGAATTCCTGGTAGTCACAGGTCTGACTAAACATGACTGAATAAATGGAAATTCCATTTAAGTGAAATGTTTAGTCTTCCAGCAACACTGTAGAGCTATGTTCACACTGAACTCTATGAATGATATTGACAACTTAAATTAAGGAATTCTTAAATTCTCAATTTTATAAAATACTTAGTACCTGCATAGTACATATATGTCACATAACCATTTTTAGGGTGCTGGCAGGAAATTTAATTTTTGAGAAAGGATTGCAAAAGAACTTAAGGGAACTGAATTATAATTAAAGGCATCTGCTGAATCATACATACAGATAAAACGTTAGGTAAAAAATGTTAGATATTGGTTGTTGACGCCTCTATTTCTCATGTGGTTAAGCTAGCCAGATCAAACGAAAAAGCCATGCTCCAGACAAAGCCCAGCTCTGAATTGTCCTGTTTCATGCTTGTACTTTGCAATTTATCTTTTATCCCTTAATATTGGATTCCAATTGTGTAGCAGACACTGAGGTCATCTCTTCAACATCATCCCAGCTCTTGACATTGTGCATCAGCCATATGGTTTAAGGAATTGATCTGGGCAACTGAGACAGTCTGATTAAGTCTGACTCAATAAAGAAAATCTGATCCTTCTTGCCTATAATTGGTCTAGAACCAATGCTTAAACCAGTCACCATATGACATTCCTTTAGCAACAGGCTTGTTTTGGAACAGATACATGACTGTATCTAAGCCAATGAGACATGCCAAGAAGATTGCTTGGAGGCTTCTGGGAAAAGTTTCCTCACTCTTAAGTGAGAATCATTAGAAGAAATGGCTTTCTTTTGTTTTTGGTTTTGTTTTTTTTGTGGAACAAAGAAGCATGTGGCTCCAGTTGTTACTATCATCCTAAGACCACAAGGAAATCGCCTTAGTATAAAACTGATATTATTCTGGGTCCTTGATGTCATTGTTGACTAAACTTCAACCAAATCTGAAGCTCATTCTTATCTCTGGACTTCCATTTGTGTGAACCAATAAATTTCCCGACATTTAAGCCACCACTTTGAGTTGGGTTTCTATTACTTACAGCTGAATGCATTTTAAGTGGTACAATTTCCTACCACTTTTGCCTACCATCTTTGCGTCTAACCTGATGTACCAACTGGCTATCTTTCTTAGCTGTAGCCATCAGCACTCTTCTATCTAGTCATTTATAGTTAACATATTGGTTGCCTACCCAATATCTGTTCCCAGCTTCTTCCACTAGACATTATCATGTAGGATAGTTTGTACGAACCTGGTGCAACCATGAGAGAAGCTAGCCCGAGGGCAAAGTAGATATGCTAAAAATGACAAAACATAAAAATGCACAAAAAAACCCTGAGTCCTCGATAATGTCATTTAACTGCTGGAGTAAACTACTTTCAGCCTTCTTATTATCTAACTAACAAACATTATCATTATTTAAGACAATTTGAGTTGGGGCATTCTGTTGTTTGAATTTGAAAACAGCTGAGCTGATAAAGAATTTGCTACAACCCTCCTGTGGTGGCAGCTCACAGAGAAGAATTAGAAGGACTTATAACTAGAATATACAAATATGTACTAGGGCTTTGGGGAGGGGAAAAAAAAGGAAGATTGGCAACAGATGTTAGCTCGAGGCAAATCTTTCCCAGCAAAAAAAAGAGAAAAAAATAATTAAATATTTCCAAAAAAAAACACCCCAATTTGCTACCAAAATATGGGATGCTGCAAATAACAAACGCCAAACTGTGGAAACAGATGAGTGGAAGTGGTAGATCAGAGGACAGTGAGACTCTCACTATTCACAATAACCAAGACATGGAAACCATCCAAGTGCCCATGGACCGATGATTGGATAAAGAAGATGTGGCATATGTATACAATTGAATACTACTCAGCCATAAAAAAAGACACAATCATCCCATTTGAAACAACATGGATGGACCTGGAGAGTATTATGCTAAGTGAAATAAGCCAGACTGAGAAAGACAAACACCACATGATTTCACTCATATGCGGAATATTAACAAACACGTGGACAAAGAAAACATTTCAGTGGTTACCAGGGGAAGGGGTTAGGGGGTGGGCACAGGGGGTGAAGGGGAGCACTTGTGTGATGGTAGACAAGAAATAATGTACAACTGAAATTTCACAATGATGTAAACTATTATGAATCTCAATTAAAAAATAAAATAAAATAAAAAGAGAATCTCACTATTCCAGACTGAGAAGACAGCCACTCTTGTTCCGTGTTTGAACGAGATTTCATTGAATTGGCACTCTGCACCTGAGTCACAGCCTTCTGGGACTCTAATATGAGGGGAAATGGTAGTAAGAATGACAATGATGGCATGTGTTGGCTACTTATGACCTTCACTAAAAACCTGTAACAAAGAAGGAAGCTTAGGTTGAAAGCAGAGAAAGATGTGGGAGGCAGCAGTAGGAGATAAATGTAGTTGCCAAAGTTTCTCCTATGGATCTCCTGTTAAACAATCTATGTTGGACAAAGGCAAGTAGTTTTGTGTCAAACACAGGATTGTAGATGGGGCTTCTCTACCTAAATCCATCGTTTCCAATTGCACTTGGGAGCACAGGTCATCAAAATGTGGACCGGGGGATGGGCAGATGTCAGAGAGATGTCTGTGGCTGGAAG